GGTTGGTTGGTTGGTTGGTTGGTTGGTTGGTTGATTGATTGATTACAAGACTGGAGATATATAGGAGACCAAGACTGAGAGACATGTAAAATGGGTACCTGACTTCAGCAACTTGGCTTTTACACCCAGATGTAAAGATGGGCACCTGTGGAAGGAGAAGGTTGGGCTCCACAGTTTGATACCAAGCCCTTGACACAATGGTCCACTGGGTAACAACCCACTGCCCCTACAGCCTCAAAAAGGCTATTCCGCCTTTTTTACCTCCATGAAAAATGGAGGTATTGTTTTTGGCGCGTCTGTGTGTGTGTGTGTGTGTGTGTGTTTCCGCACACTAGTAGTCAGCATAACTTCAGAACGCCTTTATGGATTGTGATGATATTTGGTAAGCTGGTAGGTCTTAGGAAGCCAAAGGTCAAGGTCAAATATGGGCCTCCTGGTGGCTGACCTTGGTACTGCAGCAGAAATTCCGGGAAAACAGATGTGCGGGGTGACAGGGAAAACAGATGTGCGGGGTGGAGGCAGCACCTGCCCGGTTTTGAGGTTCTCCCTCGGGAAAAGCCTACATGACCATATCCTGGCGAAAGGTACTACTGTGTGTTTGAAACCAAAAACCTGTGTTATGTTGTTCTGTACTGTAGTGTACTGTGTAAAAACATTTAGAAAAACTCATATATTTCATGGAGGTATGAGATCTCCGAATTCTTGTTTTTACCTGTTTCTACTCGTTTCTCCTGTTTCTCACAGTGGTTCTCACACTGGGGATCGAATCCGGGCCTTGGTAGTGAGAGCGCCAAATCCTAACCACTAGACCGCCCCAGGGAATTCAGAAGATTTTGAAAAGAAAAGGGAAGTGTAACAGTGGGGGGGTGGGGTGGGGTGGGGGCGTTATAGGCACTACCAACTGACCCGGCCGATGGGTCTAGACCTTTTCGGCTGAGTGGTTAGAGCGTCGGGATGTGGACTGGTGCCTGGATTTGGTCGTAGGTTCGAACCCCGACCTGGAGTTTTTATCTGTTTCTAGTTTCTACTCGCACCTCCTGTTTCTTACATTGGGACGACTACCTTTACATGTATGTATATGTGTGTACATGAAGTCACACCCTCCTCTCACATACACGGGGGCCTGCAAGCCCTTTTCCGTAGAGCGTAATCGGCCATTTTAATTTTAATTGATTATGTAGAGCGTAGACGGACCGCTCTAATATTTTTGCGTATCTAGAGCGTATTCGGCGTTTTAATTCTATGTAATGCCTCGTAGCCACTTGGAATTTATCATAAAGTGTAATCGAGAGGTTTCCGAAATCAGCGTAAAGCGTTGCAGGCCCTCATACACTAGCCTGGGACTCGTAGGAGTGAGAGGAGGATGACGTCACGGGGCACCAAAACATCCTCAAGGTATCCTGAAGGAAATCCCCCAAAGGTTCTAGTATGCAGACTTAAGACATACTTATAATACAGCTAACGGCAGTGAACCTGTACAGTGTAACGTTACTTAGTTAAAACTCAATAACTTGTTAGTAATTAACATCAATCATGTATGCTTCTACAAATTTTCGTTCAGATGTGACTGACTACCACAGCTAATCATATAAATGTGAACTTACAGATAAACATTGAGTGAAACGTAATTTGAAGTAGCTATTAAAACTTAGATAATCGATCTTCATATGAGGAATAAACAACAGATCACGAGATCTTCCCTATCCCAACACGTATCACATAGATTTGACATCCTATACTCACCCCAACAGGCGATAGATTCGATCTGGAGAGGCAGCTTCTCAAGAATGGGTGCTGATTCGTAAGCGTCGTGCATCTTGGCAGCAAAAACTGCCCCAAGAAATATGATAAAAACTCAAAAAGTGGAGACTAAAACATGTCAAATTCGGCTAGGATTGTGTCACTCCTTTGGGAGCAACCATGCACTCTAAGTGAGGGGGTTAAAGTTGTGTTCTATCATTTAACTGATATATAATACAGAGTGTTATCATCCAAATAAATAAAATATAAAAGATGTTTATGTTGTCTAAACTTTCTTGTATGTTATAAACCTTTTAATTTGTACTTGTAAAGAATTTCAATTTTACTCCTTTTCCATCTATAAAAATGAACTATTCCAATAATAGTTCAAAGGTTACACCGAGGACACAGCCCCGACAGCATACAAACGTTAAGTACGTCTTTTGTGTTATAAATATATAAACAGCTTAATTTTATAGTATTGTACATAATAATAAGCTAAATTTGTTTAAAATTTTATTTTGTATGGTGACAGTGGGAATTAGTACAATGTTGAGAGGTTTGGGTTTATTTTTGGAACTTTGGCTGTTCTTATTCTCTGCTGCCATCACATGTTCCCGCCATTTGAATCAGCGAAGATCGCGGAGTCCAGAACCACAAAGGCTCCAGGTGGCACACAGAAGAGGTACGATATTTCCTTCCGATCATCTCTAGCAACCAATATTTGGGTTTTTCTATACGGATTACTTTACATTCTACAAAATACACTTCTGTTGAGTCTCAGGAGTAGACGTATGTGTGATCTGAAGCCTGTTTTTTCGGTGGGTTTTTCTTGGCATGGCGTGGCCGGTCGCCCAGCCCAACCCGACTTCTGCAAGGCTTGTTCTACAGAGGAAAGTGAAACTTGAACCGATTCTTCCTTATTTTGTAAGAAACCGACTTAATTTCTGACAGGTGTGAATAGGTCGACCCTCATGCCACACGTAGTTAATGTTTCAATGGCGATATATTTTAATAACTCCGATTCAAATCGAAGGAAAATGAGGAAATTTTCTCTTCCGAGTTTTCTACTTGGACCCAACTGGCTCCGGCGTTTGTGAACATGGGTAGATATTTTTCAGCGATTCTTGTTATGAATCTTACTCAATATTAATATTTTGTAAACGGCAGATGTGTGCCAAACCGTCAGTAATGAATTTAGACCTTTCGCGGGCCATTCCAGTGGGATTTTTGCCCACTCGAGGCACGAGTTTTATTTTAGAGGGCTTACCTCTGGACAAGAGGGACTTTCTCAGTTTCAAACAAATTACCGAAATTTACTTTAGGGACGGTTCTCTTACAACCCAAGAGGGGTGGTGCAAGAAAAACAAGCTGATCTTAAACTGAAGGCTCAAGTTCAACGCTACACAATCATCATTTAATATGCAATATGCAAACTAGCGAAGGGGCAAGTTTTAACAGAAGTCTGAACGTTTGAAAGTTATGTTAGTAGTATATTATGTTACATGTTTTGTTAATTTCCATGTTCTTCTTGTAACATCTTTTACAAAAACAAAAGGCTCAAAATACACATCATACTAGTATATACATATATAGTACAAAAGTATGCTATTTAAAAAAATGTTTAAAAAGTTTATAAGTTTAACAGTTTGCAATAGATTATAAAAATATATGACATTGAAAGAAAAATATTCTTGAAACTTAATATCTGTATTCAATATTATTCAGTTATAAACATTGTTTTCAATATTCATAATTAAGATGATTGAAGATTTATCTTGTAGGAGATAATTATATATAACATGATGGTGACTAGATTGTGTTGTCTGTGCTGGCTACTGACTTATGTTTTGCTTAAACGTTTTGTATTTTCCTTCCCCTTTTCAGCCGTTATGGCTCCTCACAAGGTTGACAATGGCAAGCGGCGAAAAGAACCGAGAACTAGAACGGCGGGCAAAAAGATCGGCAAGCAGGCGCCAAGATGTGACTGTAGGTTTATTTTGCGGAGTCCGTTCAGAATTACGCCATTTTTTTGTCTCTCTCTCACTCTCTTACTCCTCAAGGAAAAGGGACTCTTGGACCCTTCCTTCCTCCTCCTCTTCCCAGCCAAGGTTTCCTTGGAATCCTCCTCCTTGTAGATGTAATAGCTGATTGGTCATCACACTGGCCCTGAGGTTCATTAGCATATTCAGTGTTGAACTGAACATGTTTATGTCTGCCTAATTCTTCTTCCTCGTCTGCCTCCCTGTGTACTACTCACAGCTTCGGTCGGCTCGCTGAAAATGGAGAACGGCAAGGCGAACGGGAGCGTGCAGGACCTGCAGAAGGACCACGAGTTGTTCCTGCAGGCGTTCGAGAAACCCACGCAGATCTACAGGTTTCTGCGCACCAGGCACATCGTGGCGCCGGTGTTCCTGCAGAGGAACGTCACCTACATGTCACAGAGGTTCTCCAGGAGCCACTGTCGCAGGAAACAGTTCAAGGTGCAGGATCATGGGAACATTTCCTGTTGCTCTCTTCTTTATAGACACTTTCTATAGTCATAGGAGAATTTAAAGAATAGGAGAATGAAAAAAAAGCAAGGTTTGCTAATTCTTCTGTACAATACTAGTAGTTATTTGCTTAATCTTTTTTGAAAATTGGATGAAAAGTATATGTATGAAATATACAGACTTTGGAATTTTCTGTGATATACATGGATGGATGAGTGAATCTCTTTAAAATCTTTAGGCGACATAATATTTCATGTGTGTTTTTTTGTAAGCTTTAATCTTATCCCATTGCTTTGCTTTGATAGTAAAGGTTCTTTTATGATACAGACTTTTCCTTACTAACCAGATTTGCCCTTTTTTATTACAGGTAGATTCAGTGTTAGGAGACATTGTTGCTGAGGAGAAGAAAGTAGAAGAACAAAAGGCACTCAGCCCGCCTGTACAATGCACACCTAGGTATTTAAACTTGAACTTCATCACCTTCTGCTGGTCCCAGGCAGACAATGTGGATCCAGCAGTCGTGCCTCAGGAGGTCATGGTGGAGGCCGCCCTTCTCAAGATCTGTCACAAGAAGAGGAAAGACGTCTTGTCCCCGATGAAGCACGTGTCTCTGGGAAAGATACAAGTGCCCTGTGTGTCCGGCGCCGACGGTGCCAGCAGAACTGGACCTTCTCTGTCCATCCCGGGAGAGTGCTTCCAGCCTAGTAACGGTCAGATCAAATCCTACGTGCTGGTGCTAAGAGTTACCGTTACCAACTCTCAACCAATGGGAGACGAGGACGAAGACGCTTCCGGGGAACCTGCGCCAAAGAGGCTCTGCATGTCGCCTCCGGAAGACGTCGTGTTGAACGGGGCGGTCAACGGGGACATGCCGCTGGAGGACATGATCTCGAGCGCGGAGTACCAGGCGGAGTTGATCGTGTACGACAAGCAGCACTCGTGTTTGCTGACGGAAGGGGATTACGAGATTGCGCTGAAACAGACACACAGCCTACCTCTCCAGAACAAACAGGCGCAGTGGGAGACCATCATGGACGGCAGGGCGGTCGGGCCGTTCGAAACGTTCCGCCTGGGACCCACGCTACGCTTTAAACTGACCTGGACGCACTGTCCCAGCACGGTCGCCAGTAGACTCTCCACCACACCATCGAAAGTCACGGGACAGAGCCTCGGACCCTTCGAGGAACGGCCGGTCGAGAGACAAAACTCGAAAGCGCTGTCGAACGTTAAGTACAAGAAAACGCCGGAAAAGCAGGAGAAGCGACAGAGGATCTTCTACCAATTCCTGTACAACGGCAACATGCGGCAGCAAACAGAAGCGCGGGACGACCTCCACTGCCCGTGGTGTACGCTGAACTGTATGAAGCTGTACAGTCTTCTCAAGCATCTCAAACTCTGCCACTCGCGGTTTACGTTCGTCTTCGTCCCACATCCCAAAGGTGCTAGAATCGATGTTTCCATCAATGAGGGATACGACGGTTCGTACGCGGGAAACCCAGCCGACCTCCACCTCATGGGCTTCGCGTTCAGGAGGAACGGGCCGTGTCGAAGGTCTCCTGTCACCAACATTTTAGTCGCAAAGCCGAGACGGCCGGAGCCTAGCTTGTCAGAGTTTCTGGAAGGGGAGGACCTGGAACTTGATTGGACGCGCCCGTTCACCAGCGGACACAACAGACTTTACTTCCACTCAGGCACCTGCCTCCCGCTGCGACCGCAGGAAATCGACAACGACAGCGAGGAGGAGAACGATCCTATTTGGCTAAAACAGCGCACTCAGGTCAGCTTAGATACCTGGCAATCAATTACAGTGTATTATCCTCCATTTACATTTTCATTGGCTACTGCTGTATAGCACTTACATACCTGTCAATCAATGTTGATCCTCCATTTTCATTGGCTACCCCTTAAGTATGTACCACCACTAGGGTTTAGTGACCATATTTTTAGCAACCATAATGATTTTTTCTCTCTATTTCAGCACATGATTGACGAGTTCACAGATGTAAATGAAGGAGAGAAAGAGCTGATGAAAATGTGGAACCTTCACATCATGAGAAACGGCCACATTGCAGACTGCCAGGTTAGTCGGTTGGTTGTACCTATCTTGAAACGTACGAAGGAGTTTTATGTCAGCGTGTTCCACGGTGACCTCTCCTTTGAAATCATTGCACTGAAACCATTACAGGCCCTGACTTACTACTGTACCAGTACATGGACTTCTGAATTGTTTCAACTGCGAACTTTAAACTCTGCAAACACCTTCTTATCCCCTTCCCAATTCAAAAACAAAACCAAACACAGGCAGTGGCTGTATACCATATACTAGTGCTGTGTACCAGTTAGCTGGACCAGTTCCAGACTTATGAAAATGTTTAGGTTTACCGTTAAAAAAAAATCTAAAAGGCAAGAACCAGAACAGACTTATTTTTAAAAAAATGTCACTTTCCCCTTTTCGTTCCAAACCACCTAAAACCTCCTATAAATTGCAAAATCTGTGCTGCAAAATAAAGAAAACATTGCCATCAGGCATCATCAAGTGTTTGCCTCCATGTTATGTGGCCACATTTTCGCCCAGACAACATTGCAAGGTTGCCAGCATGCAATTTTGTATATGCCATGGGTTTAGGTCCGGACTTACAAGTCTGGAACTGAACCCAGGGGTCGAAATAGATTTTGGGGTCAACTTGCACTGGTGCAGAGGAAAAAAAAATTACTAGTTGCATCCCCAAAAACAATAGGTACACAACACAACCAAACGTACATGCAGTAACTGTAATCATAGTATCCAATGTTTGCTTACACTGTTGTTGAGAGCAACCTTCTGTTAATTATAAAAAATGAAGAAAAACTCCCCAGATTCTGGTTTTGTTACCTTTCCAGTTCTTTAATGGGTATTTCTATGTGTAGTAGTCAGTCAGTGTAGTAACAGTAAAGATTACTTGCACCAATGCACACCGGTAAAAATTAGTTGCACTGCACCAATTTTACCTGCACCAACTTGCACATGGAGTGGTGTTTCGACCCCTGTGAACCTAAACCTTTGGACTTGAATCCGGACCTGAACCTAAATATGGGCCTTACTATCTTCTCTGGACTATAGTATAGGAAGTTTTACCACACAAGATTGCCATGGTTGGAGAATTGAAGATTTCAGACGTTTGTTGTTGACTGTGCAGGTGCCGACAGCGTGCAGCACGTTTGTTGAGGAGAAGGGCGTGTGGATCGTCCAGCGGAACCTGGTCAGGAACATGCTGCTCCACCTGGTCAACCTGTACGACTTCAGTCTCATCAGCTCCTCCGTCGTGCAGCAGACCATCGCCAGGCTCAGGAAGATGGAGGCAGAGGCCGCAGCGACAGCCGCGAACGAACCCACGCAAAACTCCACCGCTCCAAGCACGGCCACCTCACCCGACCAGCCACAGAAGCCCTGAAGTTCCAAGGGTTAAGCCACATGGTTCTTGTCATATAGGCCTCACCAATTTTATTGTTGTTTCTCGATTTCGCCCTGTCCATTTTTGTCTGATTTGCGAAAAAAAAAAAGAAGATTTTAGGTTCTGAATCAACTGCAAAATGCTCAAGCAAAGACATATGTTGGCCACAACTATGTTTTCCTAGTTGTTAAAGTTTTTCAATGTAACAGTTCAACTTCGTTTCATTTAAAGTTCAAAATCTATTGTTTTATTTTAATTATAAACTAGCCTGGTATGTTGACTTCATGGCTCATATTGTAACATTTCTGGCCTGCATGGGGTGCATTGGCCTTTTTTTTTTTTTCGCCATGTCACTTCATATTTTTTTGAAAAAATCCGAGAAACAACAAATTAAATTGGTGTGGCCTTAGCTCTCATGTTTTCTTCTATCAACAAACAAGAATCAAGCAAGAAGAGGACACACCTGAATAGTTACTGTGTATTCCTTTAAGTTTGCAGCACATGAAAATGAAGAGTTTGCGGTATCTTTGGGTTTGAAACAATGGAAGTAACACAATGGAAGACTTTGTCTTTGCTAGACGCTCAAACTTGAAAACTTAAGTGAAAATTTCAAAATTCACGGTACACAACACACAGTACGGTATTTCTGAAATATTTTGTATTTTGGCATGAACTACAGTTACAACAGAAGGTGTCCTTTAGAATATAATTCTTGCCAACATAACAATGAATGCCTCAGTTAATGCCATAGAGAACTAGACTAGGACCATTGTGGCAACCCCATGTTGTTATTGCTTGGAAGAGGAAGTTTGTACATACAAAATGAAAGTCTTTAAATTAAAGATTTTCCAAAATTTCTCATTACACAGACTTGTACCAGAACCATATTTTTCGAACACCTCAAACATTTTCCTTGTCATAAGACTTTTGAGGACTGTGACAGCATTATTATGTAGAACTGTGGCACTGTTTGTCAGTCTTAGAGAACTCATGCTAGGACAAACATTCCTTAGCTGGTAGATTCTTCCATTTTGTGTCAGAAAATGGTTGTCCTTTTTCCGTATACAGAAAAGTCGCACACATACGTAAGATTATGCATGATTCTATAGACAATTGAGTTAGAAAATTGAAACACAAAACAACCAATCATGTGCAACATTTACCCAAGACCCCCTAGGTGAAGAGACTGTGATGCAGATATTTTTATATAACATGTAATCAGGGGATGTGGACCAACCATGTGCCTTTTTGTTAAAAAGAAAAAAATAGAAATGTAGTACTGTATTTCTATAGTCTTAAACAGTGCAAATATACACTAGAAACTTCTTGTCTATGTATGTGTGGGGTCTGAAAATTGCATGAAATGGAAAAGAAAAACCTAGCCCTTTCATAGTTTATGTTACCGCTGCTTTAGCCCATTTTCTACTTTTCTTTGAGATCAAGCATAGTTTTTCAATACCAACAGAATTTTTAACATGTCTACATTTGTATTGCAATAATGTCAGTTGTGAAAGATATAGTCAGAGAGGAAAAAGACACAACTGTTACAGCATGACATGTATAGTATTGGGGCATATTACCGAGACAAATGTTATCCTATGATTATGTTGTTATAATTATGAAGCTATTCATGTTGTGTACTACAGTGGTGTCAGCATGCCAGCAAATAGAACATGAACTCAATGTATGATGTGATCTTCAAAAGGCCAACACAAGTTCTTACTTAAATAACAGTGTGATGCCGTCATTCTGACGCAAAATTTGTACATACATCCATTTGGTCACTAAGATATTTTGTAAAATGAAGATATAATTGTTCCTCTGTTGGTAGAGATAATGAGGGAGAATGAGCATTTTATGCAGACCGCAAGGTAGGTAGCTCTAAAGTGACAGAGAAATTGTTGTATGTAAAAAAAAAAGAGAAATGCTCTCTGTATAAAGAAATGTAGTCTGAAGTTGTAGGGAACGGTGCTAGATGATTTTGTTTAGCAAGGCTTATTAAAATGACTGTGCTGTATAGATGCTTGTTATTGTATTATCTTAGAGTCTTTCCTCTGAAATGAGCTGGTAGCTTAAAAATATTTTGTGATGCAAATGTGTTTGTCCTTGCCAACAGGTGTTCTAGTTTCACCTACGCGTATGTCTTAAAGTGGTTCAGGAGTAGCCTCCACCAGGCACTGCGGATCACTGGAAAAATAGAAGATCACAAATTGAATCTTGTATGGCCGGGATCTTCTCTGGTATACTATCCTGCCAATTTCTACTATTTTTCCAGCGATCCGCGGTGCCTGGTAGAGGCAGGAGGATTTTGATGTCTGTGTCCACATTGTCTTTCAAATCCTGAGGGACAAGCTATATAGGCATAGGGAGGGGGTAATATGTTTAACATGATGTAGGTTGCTTGGCTATGCCAGAACATTTCTTCATGTATGTAGACGGCTATATATGTATACTTTTTGTCATCATTTGGAGACTACTACTCCTTTTCCTTTTTTTGCAGTGTAGTATACCCCCCTCCGTGAGTCAACGTGGTATGTCGTGGGAAACGTTGTTTGATGCTGTTTTCAGTTGATCTACACTTGTACCAAAGCCTACATTCATTACAGCCATGTTTGTATGTTAGAAACAAAAGACAGACCTGTCAAACTCAGGGTATCCTTCAAATCAATTCTTCAATGTCCCTACTATCAGTTTTCGTATCTTCCAGGAAATTAAGCTATAATGGGAAGACGTTATTTTCTGAAGGCGTTGTTGTTTTTCTGACATACAACCCTTCTTTCTAACGCTACAACAGGGCACAGAAAAGATAGGGTCTTCCCTTCTTACATCTGCTTGGCTTTTTTGATCTGGTACGTTTTGTAGTGAACGAATATAGAATCCATCTAATAGCTATCATTGCTAGCACCAATGTTTGCCACACATTACTATTTGTAGGTGGTTCGTACACTGAACATTGTATTTTGTCTAATTTGTAGCAGAAATTCCTAAGGTGTGTCCAATGGGTTTAGAGGCGGATTATGACAGATTTTGTACAAAAACAAAAGGATTTGTAAGATGTCTGAATAAAATCAGAAAACATTTTACGCTGTTGAAGGTCTTTATTTCAAGTTTAGTGAAAGACCTTTATTGTATGTTTATGCTCTTACAAGCTAAGTACAGGTCATGAATAAACAGGAAAAAACAGCAACATGTGATATACTATTTACAGGTTCAACTTCTCGCTTCTTGAGGCAGTTGTAGATGTACGGACAAATGGAGCTAATGATACATGGTTTGTCAAGTTTAAGAAGGAATACGAATTTTGATGACAAAGGTGGCTCGAAGTACATGTAGTAGTTTAGTAGTAGTAGGTTATGTACGTTCTCGCAGCAGCTCCACCTATCGTCTCAGGTGGGAATTCCATGGAGCTTCGCTTGTGAAATGTTTTGTTTGTAACTATCATATCCAGAACGTGCCTATCTTGTTCTATACCTCAGTGGTTTGGGGTTAGGCACGGTTCTGGATAGTTTCAGCGTATCAAAAATTATATATTTGCACCTGGAATCTGGATACTGGACTATCCAGTACTACGGTTTTGGATACAACAAGGCCCGTCTGTCAATTCGAGGAGATTTCTTTAGCTTTCAGTATCTTTAAATAGGGCACAACAACCATCATCGGCCTAAACCTGTCACTTTTCACCAAATGCTGAAATCATGAAGGGTCATTGGAACAAGTGAATTCTGGGGGAGACTACAGTAGGACATCAAAAATTTGATGTGCAAACTTTTTATGTTGATGTTTTTATGATCTGTACTTTAATAGCTGTGCTCAACTACCCAGACCCAGATGACAGCCTTCATGCTTATCATTTCCATGATATCGCTGCACATTTTGATGCATTTTGATTGAGAGGTGCAATAAAACATTTAGATTATCCTTTCATTGTTGAATAGTTAGATTTCCCCGAAATCCTGAACTTTTTTTTAAATCTTTAGCATACTAAAGCAGCCCACCGATTCTCTATTGGTTTAGTCAGGAAACAGGGAGAAGGTTACACTGAATTACCAAAAATGCACTTTTTAAAAAGCTTTCAAAGTGACATCATTATCAATAGTAGTATTTTGGTAGTCGATACGGGTGCATAATGATCTACCTCTAACATTTAACCTTCTCCCTGCCAAAGTAGCCCTTCATGGCCCCAAATTTGTATTGGGTATGGGATTACACAGCAGAGTGAAGGTTAAAAGTTTCAAGTTTCCTGCCACTTGTAGGTCCTGGAGTAGAACTGTACAAATTACAATGTTTATGCTCTGAACAACATAATATTTGTCTTTGCCCCTATAACTGCTGAGTTGTTGACCATCAATAAGGATAACACCACATAAACTCCTGAACTTCAGAAAGGACTGCCATTGATACAAAAAAAATGTTCTCATGAATCTTTTGACCTTGAACTTGTTGATCTGCACACTAGGAGATGTATGGAGAGGAAATGGCCGATTATGTGGAGAATTGTTGGTAGATCCTGATGTATCCGGTAGCGGACATGACCGGGGATCAATTTCCCATTCATGACCCGTCAGCGGTGGTGACCCTGGAGTATTATCCGAATGTGTCGCCCGCTGGTCATGTGATTTACACTCGACAGGAAATCCTCCATCATGCATGCCAAGTCACTAGCATATCTTAGGCCACAGCAAGTATTTTTTATGGATGACATCAGCGCGTGCATTAATTTTCAGCTGATTTTGGAGAAAAAACAAGAAATTTTGTTGCCTTCTGACAGTGGTCAACATGCCGAAAATGGGCAAAGATGTCTGCTGCCATGCCGGAACGTGGATGGCAGATAACTATGAAGAGAGGAGACAAGAAAAGGCTTTGATTTAATGTTTTGTTTCTTACATTGATGCAGTGAAATGTGATGCTGGCTGTGTATATGTGATGTTCCCACTGAATCAAAACCATTTGTAAAATGATTGAGTCAAAATTTTAAAATGTAGGAAGTTTTCCCTTGTTTTTTTTTGGCCCACCTTGTTTTTTTTTTCGCCCGCTCGCATTAGATTTGTAGTCTGTGGTGGATGTCATCCATAAAATTTACTTGCTGTGGCCTCAGTTCTATCCCAAGATGCCACTGGTGGGAACTTGGACTCGTTTCAAGTTCAAACAGCTGGGAATAAAATGTTTGAGATTTCATCATCATCATCATCATCTGGCGGCTGCGTTAGATTTAAAGACTATAATATCTAAGATTTGTGGGTAGCTCTTTCTTTGCAGCTAACAAATG